TGGTACACGGGGCCACGGGGTAAATGAGCCTCAGCCCCACAACGGTGTGTGCAGACAAAGCAAGAGAGAACGTGAGCTCAGAGAAACCCAGAGAAACATGGAAGCAATGGGAAGAGACAGAAAAGACAGCAAAGGAAATGGAGGAGAGACAGAGCAGGAGGAGGATCCGGGACTGAGATGAAACAGATTCAAGGAAGGAGAGTTGCAAGGAGGCTGCTGTCAATCACGCCGTGAGGCAGAGCCTGACCCCACGTTTGACGGGGGGCTGCTGACAGCACCATGCCCCCCACCCGCCACGTGAGTGAGCCCCTCGGAAAGCCTGGGCACTTCCTCTCCCGACACCAGCAGGGAGCCAAACCATGCAGACACCCTCATCCAGGCCGACTCTCTAGTGGGCACCAGGGAGCTGCCAGCCAGTGTCTTCGCTAGCCTTGCCTCTCCCTGACCTTACCTCCCCCTGACCTCTCCAGCCACTTGAAGAGCAACCTGGGGTCCCCCCTGCTCACCCCAGAATGCCTCATTCTGTGAGGAATAAACCTTTTCAGGCTCTGGTTTGCATGAGGCACTGTTAGTTTCACACCCACCCCAAAGTTGGGGTGGGAGGGCCCATCCTGTCTCTCGGGGTGACGACACCGCCAGCCAAGTATCCCCACGTAAAGAACATGAGGCGCCAGCAGAGTCGCTGCCTCTGGCAGCTGGGACCCCCATAGCAGACTCTGCTCGAGTGCAGAGGGAAGGAAAGACCTGAGGGTCCAGCGTGGAGGACAGAAGAGGATGGCAAGATGGAGACAGTGAGTCGGACAACTGCTCCCCCAAGTTTCACTGTGAAAGGGAGGGAGGAGGACAGAGCGGTGGCCGGAGGGGGCTGGCCTGAGCTTGAACGTGGGAGGGGCCTGGGCATGATGAGGGAGCGGTAACCAGTGAGAGGAAGACAGCGGGTTCAGACGTAGGAGAGAGGAAGGTAAATGGGTTGAGAGAAAACTCCCAAGAGGTGATGGAGATTCCGGAGCAATAGGGGAAGGATTCGTCTTAGACGAGAAGAAGGGGAGGAGGATGTGCCCGGGTGCAGGCCAGCTCGCACACCTGCGGAAAGGCCCGTGCTCCTCGGGGAGGTGATGTGCTGGGAAGTGGGGGGAGGGGGGTATCAGGACTGGGGAAAACCCTGCAATGACCTTCAGGAGCAGACAGTGCTGGTCCTCAAAACACAGGCGAGTTTGGGCACAGGGTGGAGGGGCCGCACGCCCTTCTTACTACCGTCTGGTGGGAGTGCGGGTTTCCCCTCGGTCTGCCTACCCAGAAAGGTCGGCCTTAGCTTTCTTTCTTTTTTTAACTCTCTGCCCTCACACAAATTGCGATAACCTACTCTTTCTAACCCACGTTACCTTGCTTTTAAACTGTTTATCCCTTTACCTCATTACAGAGTCTAGAAAATTCAGCAAATATAAACAAGCAGAAAAAGAAAAGTTATATTCCCTACAAAGCCATGACGGTTATGGTTATTAATATCACACAATCATTCCAGCTATGGAAAAAGTAATAAAATATACTTTTAATGTGAAAAATGGGCACTGTGCCATTTAAAACCATCATTTTCCCGCTTTTATCCAGCTAGCGCTGCTTGCACAGGGAACGTTCGCCCATGTCTTCACCTTTCCTCCAAGCGTCTCGGACGGCGGCAGCTAGTCCTCAGTACGGCCGCACCATCGTGAGTCTGCGCCAGATAAAGGCCGTTCGTTCTTGTTTTACTGACCTTTTGTCCCCTCCAACATGCATTTAAAACCTCCTCGATTTTCCTCCGGGGAATCCGTGGCCTTTAGGTGACGCTGACTCCACCTGTGCCTTCAAGGTCAAAGACCTTGCCCCAGGACTAAGCCGTTGCATTTCTACGTCCTCAGGGATTAGACCACGGGTGAGCAGGACCTCCCCCAAACTCCAGGAAGAGGGACCAGGAAGGCAGGGCCAGGAGGAGGTGCCTGCTGGTCCCCCTCCCATGTTGCGCTTCCAGGAGGAGCGACACGCTTGAGGGAGGGGGCGCGGAGGCTGCATGCCTCCTGCGGCCAGAGCCTCGGTCTTATCCACGTACGTTCTTCACTCCCGACCCGGGGACGGGCACTGAACGCACAGCGGAGACTCTGCTAGCTGCAGCTGCTCCGTCCGGCCATCCCCACGTGGACTGGCACGAAGCTCACACAGGTTGGATGGGAGGGGAAAGTCGGATCTAGCGCTTGTGTTTCTTTTCTCTTGAAACAATGTTCAACAGACCTGAGAGGAAGCAGCAAGGGAATGAGCCTGGCTGATTTTTTAGTACTGGTTTCCCACTTTAAAAAAGAAATGAACAGCCCTGGCTGGTGTGGTTCCATGGATTGAGTGTGGGCCTGCAAACCAAAGGGTCGCCAGTTCGATTCCTGGTCAGGGCACATGCCTGGGTTGCAGGCCGGGTCCCCACTAGGTGGCGTGTGAGAGGTGATCACACATAGATGTTTCCATTGATGTTTCTTTCCCTCTCTTTCGCCTTCTCTTCCCCTCTCTCTAAATATGAATAAAATCTTTAAAAAAAGAACATCTTAAAAAACAAACAAACAAACAAAAAGTAATGTCCAGGACATGGATTAAACTGCTTTCAGTACATCACCTCCTTGCAAGCCTGTTGGAAAGAAATAATTACTCCACCTCACACTGTGGCTGCACACGCTGAGATGTATGGCCGTCACGTAAACACACGGTTCAGGGTCATGCCCACGGCCACTCACGAATCTGACCGTTGTGGGTTTTTCCAGTGCTTGCAGAACCGCACAAAATCGGCACAGGTCTGGGGGATCTCCCAACTATTTTTCTCGGTTCCTCGTCCCCCTGCCTGCACGTCCCAGAAAGAAGCTGAGGGTCCCCGATTACGCAGCTCTGGGCTCCGTCCACCGAGCGAGGAACAAGGCTGACGTGGTGCGTTGTGTAAACTCCCTGGCCAGTGACAGCGATTTACACCGACCTGCCGCCTGCTCTGTAAACAGGTACAAACTCAATTTAAAGCAGTTTACACAGGGCAGTAAACAACTTAATAATCTCTCCTTAACACGGCGCTCGTGAATGTAAATGTTTAATCCAAAACCGATGCTGACGCTGCGATGCAAGCTTCCAGCTTCCCGACCTAATGAGTGGTCCCTGCATGCCCCGCCCCGGGGTGGAGCCGCAGGGTCAGGCAGAAAGCCCACAGTTCTGGGGGGTGGAGGGTCTCACTGGGCTGGGAGAGGGCTAGAAACAATCCTGCCGCCCTTAGCTCTTCTTCCTGGTCCTGAGACTTCTCTCTCCCCCTCAGTCATTCTCTTCCCCCCGCCGCCCCCCACCGCTCTGCTCTGCCAGCATCTGAGCCGGGCGCAGGAGTGTGAAAACGGAGGCAAGAAGAGACAGGGAGAAGCAGCCTTTGGGCTCCTGGCGATACCATTCTCACATGGAGATGACCAGGGCACACTCGCTGCCTGTCAACACGTTACTATGCAAATCGACCTAGATCCTATGCAAATCACACGCAAATGTGTTTTCCGCTGTCAATAACTGTCAGCGATACCTGCTGGAGTCCACTGAACCAGATGCTGCCTGCTATGAATTTTTCATCAGAATTCATCTTCCGATCAGCCTGGCTCTTGCCTTAAACTGGGAGGACAAGGAGGGGGGTGGCTTCTCCAGCGACCACATGTGTCCGGGCTTTTTCTGGAGCAGAGGAAGGTCCTGGGTGCAGTCACGCTGAGTCTGCCCACAGGAAGAAGACTGCGTATTGAACAGGGGAGGCGCACGTGAGCCCTAGAGCCAGTCTCCAGGTTGTCTCCTGCCCCACCAGGAATTCAGGCAAAGTGTGTATCCCCTGGGGCCGTGTCTGGGGCTTTACTAGTTTAAAACAAAATATCTGAAAAAAAAATACCTACTATGGTCAGACTTCTACTGAAGTCCTGGGCAAAAAAAAATGATTTTGATTTTTTTCCTGAACTGACATAATTTATGGTTGGGAAAGAATAGCTACTATTTACTGAGCACAAAGAGTTTCTTTTTCTGAAAGCATTGGTTTGTTTAGAAAAGGGTTCATTTTCTGAAACCATGTATGGAGCAGCTGGCACCAGGCAGGCACTGGGCTGGATCTGTGTTCTCTCCCTGAATCCTTCACTCGACACGGCGTCATCCCCAGCTCACGGGGAAGATCGAGACCCAGGGCCCGAGGTGACTTGGTTGAGGTCACGGAGCCTACGCCCAGGGGGTGACCAGGATTCGGACCCGGCCCGACTGTCTCTGAAGCCCTTGCCCTTAGATGTGCTGTAAGAAGTTTTTGTTCCTCTGACTGCCGGGCCTTGGGAAGAAAGGCCCCCGGCTCCCGGGTCTAGGAGCTCGCGCACAAGAGCAGGGAGATGGTAATAACAATGCTAATGGCTGACGCGCACTGAGTTTTCTGCTCTCAAAGTAAACTGACGGAACCTTAGGCTTGATGCGTGGAAACTCATCGAGTCCCCGCATCAGCTCTATCAGGGGGGTGTTATTCCTTTTATCCTCATTTACCGATGAGAAGACCAAGGCAGAGAAACCCCTTCCCAGCACCGCACAGCAAGTGTCTAACCCGGGACCGGCCCGGGCAGTTTCTCCCGGAGCCGCCGTCGTGGGACCCTGAGGGTCCCGACCAGGGACGGTCCCTGGCGTGTCCCCACACACGTAACACCTGGGAAGCTCCTAACACTTACTTTAAAGGAAGATGATAAATAGGGCAGAGACCCTTTTAAAGAGCACCCAGGTGAGGCTGCACGGGATCTCCTGTGGGAAAGGATCACCTTCACAGAACGCACACCTGGTCAACCTACCTGTCGTGCCTGGGGAATACACCTGTGCAGGTAAAGAGAGAGCGCACGAACAGACAAAATCAAACAAACTGAACACGCACTGGGCGACCCAGAGGCCCTAATGTTATCCCCAAAGCAATGGCCTGGGACTCACGGAGGGGGAGCAGGAGCCAGGGCGGGCCCACTCACCTCCTGACTTGACCCTCCGAGCCTCCCACCACGTAGTAGCCGGGTCTGCACTCGTATCTGCAGGTGGAGCCCACGTCGTGGCGGCCCTGGAGGCAGCGCGGCAGCAGCAAGGTGGCGTTGGGGATGACGGGGGGCGTGTCGCACTCCAGCTTGCAGTAGGCTTCGGGGAGAGACCAGAGCCCGTCCTCCAGGCAGGTCAGCCACGGGCTCAGTCCTGGCTCCGGGAAAGAGAAGCGTGGGGCGCTCAGAGCACATAGAGTCCAGAAACGTCGCTGCATCAGACAGAGCCGAACCGGCCACCGCGTGGGCGTGCTTAGAAAGGACGTTACCCTCTGTGGGGCAATTCTCTAAAATCTCAGGGCAAATGTCTTTCTTGCATTTCTTACCCACACAGCCGCCAGTCTGACCTACTAGACAGAGTAGAGGCCAGGTAACGACCCCTTGACATTGGTGACAGAAGGGCTGGCTGGGCCCCCGTCATGACCTCCCCCCGCCTACCGATGGTAACAACACAGCAGTGGCTGCGTCACAGAAAACATTATAATGATCACAGGTCACTTTTTTACAGTGCTTAGTATAATCCATACCAGGTGGTATTCTAAACATTTTACGCACATTAACTCATGTAGGTGTCAAACTTCGAGCAACCCTGTGACATAGATCTCACCGTTATCCCCAGTTTGGCAGAAGAGGAAACGGGGCTTAGGCTGACTTGCCCGAACTGGTAAGCGGCAGAGGCAGGGACTGAACTCGGGCCGTCTGGCTGCGGAGTTCTGGGCCTCAACCCCACACCGGACGCCTATGAGAAGCAATCCTTGGACATCCGGTTGCATGACCGGCCCACCCCAGACCCGCTAAACCTGAGTCTGGCGGCGTGGGGCTCGGGGAGCTGCATTTGTAACAAGCCACTGGCAGGCACAGGGGAGTCTGCCGGGGGGTGAAGGGCAGGGCTGGGCAGCCAGAACAGGGTTCTTCCCCGGCGGCGTCTGTGACTGGCGGTGCAGCCAGGAACTGATCTGACCACTACGTTCTCATCTATACAACAGGGCGAAAAGCACCTAACTCACGGGAGGGTGGTCAATACTAAATTAAGAAATGGGCATGATAAGTGCAGCGTTGTTATTAATATTATCAGGGACCTGTTGTTGTTGGACTGCGGAGGACACACAGTCGAATAAAAACAAGCAGATGCCTGTTCCTTTCGGTTATGAGGCCCCGGGCCAGGCCCCACCCCCGGATGCCGTGGGGAAGAGCAGCATTGCCTCGGGGGCTCGGCTGGGGTTGTCAGGAGAGGGTGGTCCAGCAGAGCAAACGGGAAGAGTGTCGGGGTGCGGGCAAGACCCCCCAAGAGCCCCCAGAGAGAGCGGACTGGAGGGGCCCTGCGGCCCCCAGTCCCCGGCTGGCCGGACGGTACCTTGCAGCTTGGCCGGAGGGACACAGGAGACGGAGCAGCGTTTCCGGAAGGTCGTTCCCTCGGAGCAGGAGAAGGTCGCGTAGTGCACCAGAGACGGGCCGGGGGCGCCGCAGTCGAGGGGTGCACAGCGCACTGCGCGGTCCCAGTGCCCGGAGGAGCACGTGAGCAGGATCTCCCGCTGGAAACGGGGAACGTGCCTGTGTCACGGTCCCGTGAGACGCCTCCCACGGGTCTCACTGGAAGGCTTATCTACACAGTTTCCCACTGAGGGTTCGTGCAAAGACTGGAGACAGGTAAAGTTATGTCGCCTTTTCCCTCTTTCCGCCTTATCGTCTTAACACACGACCTCACGATTCTGAGGCTGAGGGGAGGTGCCGTCCGGGAGAGAACCGCTGAAGGCAGGGGAGGCTCCTCCAGGCCAGCTCTGGCTGCCCCAGCGTGTCCCTCTGTTCGCTCTCTACCCTCCTCCACCCGGCTCTGTGCCCAGGGATGCAGGCCCCTGCGCACTCCGAGCCTCTGACCAGGGCGCACTGGCAGGAGACTGGGGCGGGGGGTGGGGAAGAGGTGCTGACCCTTCCCGCTCCCTCTGCAGGGGGCTGCTGCAGGTCAGCCCCACCCCTGGGTGGCCCTCTTCACACAGAGGGCCCTGTGCTCTCCTCTCTCACTGCTCCCTATGGTCGGCTCTCCAGGCCTGGGGGTGCTGACCACCCCTGCAACCCCGGGAGCCTGCCCCGTCTCCCTGTACTCTCCCGAGATCCTGCTACCGCCTGTGCAAGTAGTCCCTTAGTTCAATTCTCTCAAATTGCCCATCGTAGAGCATGCCATCGGCTTCCTGCTGGGACCTTCCTGCTGAGCCAGCGAATCAAGGATGGTGTATCCTTTATTCTAAGTACCTAAGAGCAGTCGAGAATCAATTTGTATCAGGCACCTTCCAAACCATGCGGTGAAATCTGAGATGCCAGCCATTTCCCTGAGCCCCAGGTCTGCGGGGTGGCCTGAGAATTCATCCCCACTAAGGAAATGAAGAGACACTGACGGAGCACCTGGAAGGGCCGGGTTCTGTCCTGGGTTTCGGTAAACAAGACAGACGCCCTCCAGGAGCTAGTACTCCACCTGCAGAGCAAGTCACAGGTGGGACCAGAGGCTCGGAAAGCACTTGAAGGTAAAGAATGGACTGAAGGGGAGAGGGAGAGGGGGAGGGGGAAGGGGAAGGGGAGGGAGAGAGAGAAAGGGACAGGGCGGACAGGAGGTATGGGAAAAACGCAACAGATATACTTCTGCTACATTCTACCCTTTCCCACAATGACTGCAGAGGAAACAATCCAAGGATGCAAAAGATAAGATGAAAGAGGTAGGAAAAGGGGGGCCACAAAGGGAAAATACAGATCTATGGAAACTACAGCGGTGCCGTGTGTGCGTGCTTGTCCTGGGGGGCTGAGGCAGCACCACGGGGTGGCGGTGGGCTGCCCGTCCCTGGGCAGCAGGGAGGGCGTGCTGGGGGCGGGCCCCACAGAGCTGGTGACACGGGAGCTGGGACTTGACAGATGAGTGGGACTTCGGAGGGGAAGGAGGAGGGAGAAAATGTTCTGAGTGAGGGGAGCAGCATGAGCAGGGACGGAGGGCTTGTTTGGGAGAAAGCACGGCTGTCACTCTAGCCAAGGGGTCACCAAAGGTCATAAAGGGGGAGAGGGCAAGGGAGGGGGGTGACTCTGTGGCTCCACCAGCCATCCCGCCAGGAGACCACAGGGGCCACAGCCAAAGGCGCAGCCAAAGGTACAACGACCAGTGAAAGCACCTGTCACCCCTGACACCTGCTCCTGGTTACCAGCTCCTCCCTGTTCCCCAGTGTTCCCCCTGCCGCCTGCCAGGAGGGCCCCAGTCCCAGCCAGACACATTTTTCTGTTTAGTTTCCGTTCTTGTGTCAACAACAAGCAAATAATCCCCCGCTGTCTTGTGATCACGAGCAGGATTGTATCATTTCCTGAGCGGGGGCCCGCCTCAGGTGACAGGGGAGGTGGGGCTGGTGGAGCGGGAGCTGCCGTCCCAGACTCTGCCGCGGGCAGGGCGGCGCCCGCTCAGCCCGCAGCGACTGCCCCAGGGGCGTCTCCCAAACTCCGCGTGCATCGCCTGGCTTCTCTCCGGACTCCGCTGAGCCCTGCGTCCATTTCGCTTTGAACCGGCTCCTGGTTTTACCGCACTGCAAACACTGTCGTCTCCTCGCTGCCCTCCCTCACCTGTTACTCCAAGGTATTCAGTCCCTACATTTTGCAGGGAGGTCCTTTTTCATTTTTTTTCTCTTTTCTAGAGCAAGTTAGGCCGGGTTAGGAACGAGTAGGTGATTAGAACACTCTATCACCCAAACCATCATATCACGCAGGAACGCCGTGACTGTTTCTTTCCACACAGAACCCAAACTAACGGAAACCAATGGCTGTGTCTTTAAACTCCAACTCTCTCTAAGCCAACGAAGTTCCCCACGGACCCGTGAATCTCCTTCCTTCCACACCACTGACATCGGACTGCCGGTCTCACGTCCACTCTTCCCTCACTGTGCTCTGTGCCCCGGGGTTTCCCCTCGGGAGCCGCTGCCTCTGGCCTCACACACACTCTTGGCACTTCCTACCGTGCATGTGTTTTCCGAGGGCTTGTTTCTAGTGAAACTGCTGTGCAGGGCACCGAGAGCTCTCTAAAGCAAAGACGGGGAACAGCATTTCTGGTGGGGGAAACAGCGTCACGCTCGTAATAACGGCGGCTCACCAGAGCGCCCTGTGCCTAGCGTTCTGCTGGAAGCTTTTAAGTGACTTCCGATCGGTCATCTTAACCACCCAGTAACAGAAATAGTTCTGTTCTAATTATCTCACAGATGTGGAAACTACCCTGAGGAGGTTTGTTTGTTTTGTCTGTCTTTTTTTACCTAAAATCATACACCCATTAAATAGCGGGGCCAAAATTTCACTCCAGGTCTGTCCCAGGCCACGCTCTTACTGCCGCACCACCTTGAACTCCTGGAAATGGTGCTGTGGTGGCTCGTGGAAACTTGGAAACGTCCATCAAAGGTACAGTCATGATGCAATCCCACCCCAGGAACAGAGGGAAGGAAAGCAAACTGTCTTCCTCCAGCCTGCTCGTAAGAAGGGCTGGGGAGTCGGACAATGGGCCACAGATAAGCAAGCTGCCTGCAAACGGGGGGCAGGGCTGAACTGTGGCATCCTCACCTTGAGGGCAAACGTGGGGACTGTCGTTTCTGACGGGAAGACAAGAACAGGGAAAGGAATGCAACGCACCCCGGTCTACTGCCCATCTGGAGGGGAACGGACACCTGGCCGAGAGGGCATGGCTCAGGCTCTCATGTCCCTTGCATTTCTGCAAAGCCCTGCCCCTGCCGGCCTTGGAGAGTCCACAGGTCTCCTTTCCAGTGACTGGCACCCACCTGCCCTCCCCAGATGGGGCCAGAGGGCGGAGCAGGAGGACCTTCCCTCCCCAGGAGCGCGGCCCTGATGATGACACAGGTTTCCAACTCACCTGCATGGGCCTCAGGTACTTCCCACTGCTGGCCTGAAGGGTGAACCCCCTTTGACAGGTGACAGAGCACTTCATGTGGCCTGGGCCCCCAGAGGTACAGTTCACCACATCCGTGTGATCGAGCAGCAGGGGTGCACAGCTGCCCTGCTCCCCGCAGGGCTGGTGGACGCAGCTGGGGATGACAGGGAGAGAGAGGGACATCTCAGGCTGACGCAGACCCAGTGGGCAGCAGCAACGGCTCGGGAGCTTCTCCTGGAAAGGGCCTCGAAGCCAAAGAGGACGCTTTTTTCCAAAACCTACATTAAACTCGCCACCTCCTTCTCTATGGCCTGGAACCACTGAACACACAGTAAACAAGAATAGTATCACAGCCTGGCGTGGGAGACCAACAGTGGAGGGAGACATACATGAGCTGGGGGAGGGGTTGTGAAGTCTCAACAGGCATTTCCCAAACCCGGCGCTGTAACTGCACATGTAACACAGAAAAGACAGCTTTGTCTCTGGGTCTCTCTTCAACCTGTCGGGGTAAGAGATCCAAAACCTGGCCATTCTTCAAGGGGTGAGGTCAGGAGACCTCACCAGTGACGCTCAAGAACCCCAGGTTCCCAAGATGCTGTGTGCTCTGATGGCTACAAAACGTGGTGTTTCCTCAGTGCGGCAAGCACAGCGTAGAGGAAAACAGAGTCATTAACAGTTGTGGTTCATGTCAGCTTAATGCCAAGAATTTAATGAGAACTAGCACGTGCTGTTTTTTCGGCGCCTCCATCCAATCACACCATGTCATCCTCGAGGACGATTTGGAGCTGAGATAGGGCACAAAACAAATCCTGTGAATGAGCCTCCTTCCATCAGGATGGGGCTCCAATAACCACGGTTGCTATGACTACCAGTGTGCAAAGTCCTGCCAGCACTGGCAGGAGGGAGGGAGCGAGAGAGACGGGAGCGCAGACCAGGGGGAAAGTGACATGAAATGAAACCAAGACCGAAAAAAAAACCCCCACCAAACCCAGACCTGTTTATGAAGTGAGAAATGGTTTCAGGGCAGCTGCTGCAAATTCTTTCACTAGCTTATATTTCCATTTGCTTCCTTTTAAGGAATTTGTTTTACGAGGACGGTGTTTGTCAGGTCGTTAGCCTCTGATGGCATCTGGTACCAATTGCAGACTTTTCTTCCTCACACCTCAGCCCCAAAGCCCTTCTGTGTTTCTCGTCCACTACAAACACGGCTTTGGTGAGGGAAGTGGCGTTCTCCATGTTCCCGGCCTCGAGGCGCAGCCCCCTGTCCGCTGAACACTACGCAAGGCCCAGCATCACAAAGATAACGGGAGTCGCAAACACAGCTTTAAAACTCCTTGGAAACCCTCTTCGCAGGGTCCTGGGACCCAGGTTAAGGACAGAGGCAGCAGGCGAGGCACTCGCCCTGCCCCAGAGAGGTGGGGAGTCAGGTATTTGTCTTGGTTTGACATACAAGGAAACTCAAGCTGCTTGGAGACTGTCTGGAGGCCACACAGCGAGTGGGAGGAAAATCCTCGGGCTGGGTCTGGGAGCCCTCGCTCTGGGGCCAGCCTAGACCACGAGGACCCCTCCCTGGGCCCGGGGGGGCGGGGGGGGGGCTGCTTCCCCGCTGCTGTGTTCTCCGTTCCAAAGCCAGCAGCACAGGCCAGCGTGAGCCAGGAAGCCCCTTCGCAGGGGAGCTGGGGGGAGTATAGATATTTAACAGTCCGTCTTAGCTTTGAGCGGCCTTCTCTTAAATGTTAGCAAGTCCACTTGGCCACATCTGTCCAGCCGCCGAGGTCTGCAAGGTGCCCGTCTGAGGGTGTCTCCTCCGTTGGCAACAGCTCCTCGTCTTCCACCCGTTTTTTCCAGACCTTTCCTCACACCTCATCACGACGGGTTCTTAGGTGAGCATGCGATGCACCCAGTCAGATGGGATGCACAGGTATTTCCATGTTAGCAGCAGACAAGGTTTCTGGCCAGAGGAACGGGTTTCGCATGCTGGAATTTTAGGTCGGGAGGGCCTCAGAAAGCACACTCGCTGTCGACGGCCACCGACCGCTGGCCTCGCTCCGCTCTTTGCCCACATCTCTGGGTAAGTCTCCACCCTCTCTTCTGGTCCTCACTCCCCAACGTCAGCGATGTCGACGGAAGAATCCCTGTTCCAAATGCACTCGAACCCCAGCCTGTCCTGCTCCTGGCCGTACCCTGCTGTGGCCGCCCAGACACAGACCTGGCACTGTCCTGCTGCAACACGGGCGCATCGCCTTCATTGCTGTGTCTGGGGGCGATGCCTGTGCGTGGGAGCCCCGGTGCGCCCGAAGAAGGCGTTCTCGGCCAGGCCGTATGCCGCGCTCAGGAAGCGTTAGAGATGAGGGGTGCCCGGACCCGTGCCCCAGAGGTTCTGACTCCGTGGGCCTGCGGTGGGATGCTGGCATCTGTGGCGTTGATGTTTCAGGGGTGCCGACACTCACCGGGAGTGAAACCCAGCACCGTAGAGGTCTGGGTGTGTGTGACCCCGAAGGAGTCAATAAACCCCACAGACCAGGACCAGGCAGGGAGAAGGCCGACCCTGGGGGACACTGGCCCCACTGCTCGGCCGTTACGCTTTAATGCACGAAGCACAACTTGTCAGGGAGCAGCCACAAGACAGACGGACAGCGTACAACACGCCCCCTGTTGGACACACGTTCAATACCGTGGAGAGAGAAAACGGGGCCGGGGTTACTGGGCACGGCTGCTTCGGGGCACGTTCTGTCTCCGGCCGGGGGGGGGATGTGCCGGTGGTGCGCGGAGAGGACCGGGGAAGCCGGGGAGAGAACAGCCCAGCACGTTTCTGCCGATGCCTTACAGAGAGCACGGGGCCAGACGGCGCCCCCGGCACCTGGACAAACCCCCACCTCTTCCTCCTCCTTTTAATTTTTTTTTTTCTGAACAAAATTCAGTATGTGTGGGCCTCTTTAAATTTGACTAACGTGGAGAACTCACACTGAAAGAGATCAACATCTATTTTGAAAGAGAGACTGAGACGCAAGTCCCCGGGGCTCTCCCTGCCGTCAGCGGTGGGTGGGGAGCCGAGTAAGGCCACTGCCCCGAAGCAGCAGACACGGTTCTCCGCAGAAGGAGTGGACGGACCGCGGGCAGACCTGTCCCGCGCGTGCCCCAGGGCAGGCCGAACCCCGGCGCGGCTTGGGTTTCCCGCTCCCAGGGAGGCCCACCTCCGGGAAGCGGGCTGACTCCCGATGAGGGGCCAAGTCCTCGCTGTTCTGCCCACGGCTTCGGTCCGTGGTTCTCCGGAGGGTCTGAGCCACCTTGGAGGAATTTCAGGAGGCTGCGACAATAGTCCCGCGTCAGTCAGAATCAATCCATCCACTTCTCCCACTGAGGGCTGACGGGAGAGTGTAAGCCAAAGATTCCACTTCTTGCACATAAATGCAGGGGGTGGGGGGACATGGAGGGCGACCCGGAGCAACGACCTTCGTGGCACCACAGCTTGTTACAACTTAAACGGGCCTTAGAGGTAACACAGACCAAACCCCTCCTTTGTAGAGATAAAGAAACTGGGACCAAAAGAAATTACGGAGTACTCCAGAACTTTCTACCACACGAAGACTATAATATCATACCGAAAAAAAAATTGAACTCAAAATCAGGATGACATCAGCTCATGAAATTTTCTAGTCGGTATCCCACCCTCCCTCCGGCAGCCAGAAAAGGCTGACCACGCTTGACCTGTGGAACCGAGGCGCACGCAGGACAAACCGTCTGGCGTGTGCACCGCGGGTCTGGAGGAACGGCACGGTGGGGTGCGGAGAGGGGCAGAACCCACGTGACCCCAGCTCAGGCCTTGGCTCGCTGGAGTTTGTCTCCAAGGCCTTGGGTGAGTCTCTTGACCGCCCCGGCCCCCTGTCTGCAAATCTGGAGACCGGCGGGGTGGAGCCAGGTTCTCCCGAAGGTCCCTTCCAGCTCTAACGAGGTATTTCATCTCACAGACGAGGTGCTGGTGGTACCGGGGCAGGAGTGCGGAGAACCAGGAGTGGGCAGGATGTGGGGGAGCCCCCGAGAAAGAGTCCCACACGGTCTTTCTGGCCCACTGTGCGTTTTTGCTTCGTGCCCCAACCCTTTCGGTCATTCAGTCAACCCACGATTGCAACGCTTTGATCCAAGAAGCGCCACCTTTGACCAAAGGGCGATGCTGGTGGTTTCCGCAGAAGCAGCCCTTTTGAGGTTAAATGGTAAAAGGGGAGCAGATGTCTCTCTCATTCCCCCACTGCGTTTCACTGACTCTTACTGAAATGAGAGGGTGCGGGCGAAGCAGGAATGTGTGCTCGGGACCTGGCAGCCGCCGGCGGGCGGAATGCAGAGTGCACTGGAAGCAACGACGCCCTCATTAATCTTCCCGCGCTCGACAGCAACACCGCATAGTAATGGTCGCGTCTATCCTCAGGGAGCTCTGCTGTCTCTCCAAACCAAGGCAGGGCTCGCTCTGGCTCCCCTCTCCGCCTCCGTCTGACTCCGGCCCGTCTCTGTCCCACGGGACGGCGACCATCGGCCTGGTCCCGTGAGGAGTTCCTCTGAAGGATCCTACCAACCGGGAAGGGAAAATTAACTCAAGTGCTTCTCTGAGGATTCTCATCCGAGAGCAACAGGGGAGTCTTGGCAGCTGCGCCCAGTCTCCCCTCACCTGGCCGGGGAAGGACGGGCTCCTGAACCGGGCAGACTCCCCCTTCCTCTCCTGCAGCCTGGGAAAGGGAGGGTCTCCCCCGCCTGTCTACTGAAGTCTCTGCCCCAAAGTCGGTGCCTCACCGTAGCCCTGTTGGGCGATGGCCATCTCCTTCTAGAATGTGACCTATCAGTGCGATCGGGACTAGACTCTGGTGGCCCCAGGACTCGGTAATTTGCTTCGCTCACTTCTCAGCCTGGGCCCAGCCTTTACCACACCTGGCTGTAACACCAGGAGGCCCTTCCAAATGCCCCCTGTACTTCTAAAGAGAAACAGATTTACGACGCACAGCCAAGAGCACTCCCTTTCAAAAGCCCCGGGTCACCAAGTTTCAGAGCCCACGATTTTAATGTAGATTATAAAGTACGTGGAATACCACAGGAGGAGGCCAAACTAGCGCTGGCCAACCGGCAGCGTGTGCTTCCCGGCACCAGAGGAGCAGAGTCGCCCACCAG